TGAAGTAGGGCTTGGGGTTTGGATATTGGTGGAATGGAGCACAGAATAGTAAACATTAAGCTCAATATGAGCCTGGGCTTCAAGTCAACATAAATCATTCAAGATGTTAGCAATTTGAAATTTAAATCAGTTTAAAACAGCTTCAGCTCTTCAACTGCTTGATAGCAGAGCTGAAATGGCGATCAGAGAACAAGAGAACAATTCTGCACCACGTTTGATAATTTAATTGTCAAGTAAAAGTAAAAATGGCAACAAAAAAAAAAAGGCTCATTCTTAAATTAGATATATTTGCTGCTTTAGTTATTTTCTTTGATAGTGAAATTTAATACCTTTGAGCTCTGGACTGTTGGTCTGACCAAACAATCTGTGTGACTACGCCAACTTGCATATAAGGGAGTTGTGTTGGACAGTTTTCACTATTTGATATATTATATGCCACACAATGAATAAATTACACAAGAAAATCCCTGTCTGATTAAATAACAATTACTACTTGATAGACTTAGTATAAGGTGAGAAAATAAAGTATCTTCCAATCTCAAAAAACTGACATTTTTAAAGACATAGCTAACTTAGACACAGTCCCAGTAGCTTCCAAAACAAAGCCTTCAAAGTGGAACTGCAGCCAATTTAAAATTAAATGATTAGTCCTATGAAGAGTAAAGGAGGCCATGAACAAGTCTAAATGAGAGCAAAACTGGTCTGAGACTTTACAAACTGTAAAAGGAGACTAACTAGACTACAAATTCTTAAATATTTTTAAGCATGAAATGTACCCATAACCCTGGAAAATGACCCTGGCAATGTCATATTTTCCTTTTCTTTCTTTTAATTTCTGTTTTGATGTCGTGTTGAACACTCAAGGAAGGCACATTTTTTCTATCTCACTTCACAGAGACAGTTCTGAGTGAGTTGCCATAACTGAAGTCAGGAGGAATCTCTCAGATGCATTTCCTGAACGCTACCCTAATAAAACTTATAGCCATCATGTTACAACAAGAATGTCCTAGAATAGCATTACAGTGACACTCAGGAAGTGAATTTACCAGACGCAGGCTTGTAGCACTGCATTGTAGCATTGCTCCAGTTTCACCATATGGTGAAGATTTCACTCCAGGCGAACGCCCTCTGATTCCAATCACTCTGACTCAGCAAAATATGTTGCCCTTCCTCTGTTCACCAGATGTGGCAACGATTTCTTTCAGAACAAGCCATCCAAAAACACTAAATATGCTAAAACTTAATGACAGCACCCCGAGTTCTAAAATATAAACACCAATAAAGTAGCTAACGGTTCAAGCCCACAGATGATTTAGTATGTAACTAGTTTGCTAACCCAGTTTGAAGAACTGTCAGGAGCATTGCAGCACATTTTCTTGTTTCATCAAACAGTTTAGAAAGAGTGTGCTTGGTCATTGGGCCTTTATAGTCACTGCTGCCAGCTATTTCCACAGGCTATCTGCATTTTTTTGTTGGTGGTCTGTCACCCAGATATCTACACCCTGGCTGTCTTCCTACTGGGCCAAGTCACAATGACAGGAAACCATGAACTTTCTTCTTTGGGAGTGATACAATTGGCTTTATGGAACCTCAGAAAAAAATCAATGTGCTCACATCCTCGTAGCCTAAAACAAGCCATTAAATAACTCTCCACTATTTCAAAAAAGTTTAGAGAATTTAAAGTGCCAAGGAGTCATTAAATTTAACACTGCCAAATTTCTGTAAGAAAAATCCCAAATTAAATAACACTGGCAAGGATCTAGCCTGACTGAGGCAAATTTTCCAAAAGGGCCTTGTAGTTTCCATCTTTTACCAATTTTCACTACTGGACTGCAGATAATTGTTCAAAGTTACCGGAATGCCTACTCCCCAAAACAGCCAATTTATTTATGTTGTTGTACTGGTGAGCTCCGGCTGTGGTTTGCTAACCACAGGCATCTTCCTGTACTTGCCAACATACCGTTAAAACATCAACTAAAAGAAGGCACAGAAAATGACCGGACACACTGAGTAGAGAGATGAAAAAGCCATGACTGGAGGTGAGTCACAGAGGAGAAAAAGAGAGCCAAGTGCCTGTCTGAACTGGGTGTACAATTTACCACGCACTGCAGGAGGTCATTTAAAGGAGATCGAAGTGGGACAGGATCCTATTGATACAGCACGTATTTCTTGCCGTTTGTATGGAAGAATCTGAAGGACAGAGAATTTTCTTTGGTGGTCATGCCCTCAATGGTGACATAATTGCACCCTGTATCGATTTTAGATTAGGTGGACTAATGCATGTTGATATGATATACAAATTCATTCTGTTCTTTGGTTTAAGTTGAATTACTTTGGCTAAGGTTGGCCTTCAGACTTAATATTGTGCAGTTTCTTATATATCAGATTTCTTTTCTTCCAAATAAGTATGAATTTCCTGGAGGGCACAGCGTATTTGTGCCCATCTGCCTTGAATAGAATAGGAGCTCCCATGCATGTTAAACCTGAGACTGATGAATTACAGCATATTTCACGTTCACAAAGTGTTTGAAATCATCACTATGCGAATTTCATAATTGGCCAACATCATATGAATTTTAATATTTTAAGATACCCAAACTCTTCTGATACCTTGTTTTAATTGTCATCACATCAGACCAAACACAACAATGTGTTAGTGCATCTCCCAGTACTCTCCCTGACCCTGTCTGTGGCACTCTGCCCATTGGTTCCTGCTAAAATAGTAAAATATTTAAAAAAAAAAGGTTCCAAATATATAACAGTAGATACATTTTTTTAAAAGGTTCAGTGACTTTCTAAAACAGCTAGGCAGTGTGGTTTTTAGCAAATGTTACTTAAACAGGGGTTATTGGTTAATTGGATGAATATACATTTGGTGCTCTGGTAAGTATAGCAGCAGAATGGTGCAGGTGGGATTAACTCAAAATAAACTACAGTTCATCATAATGAAGGAATATGTCATAGTAGGAAAGTACATCTCATTGTTATTAAAACACTTATTGGTAGGATCAATTCATTGCTGGTTTGGTCTTTACATGGCATCTGTACACTGAGAACAATATACAGTAGAATATCAACAAAACTTGTCATTTAACTTGAACTGACCACTTGTACCTATAACTCACGTAAGTACATAGTTAACAGGAAGGAGTTGTAAATTAGGACCGCAAAGTTTGAATAATGTCTATCTACTACTGCAGTGTATTTGCTTTTGTCCGCTGCAGGAGGTTAAACCGACCACAATCCCCCTTCCTGTCTCTTCCTGTGCCAGGCTAACAAACCATTATGCTGCCAGATCAATCAAGATGCTGAATGCTGGATGACTGGTCACACTGGAACCAGATTAAATAACTGGTGGTGATTCACATCTGAGAAATGCAGCGCTGAGGGCCCAGAGCTTCCGAAAGAGTGCTGGGAAATGTAATGTGTATTATATATGTATCAGTATCTGGTTATCAATATAATCATAAATGACCTGGGTGGGTCAGCATACTACCAATACAAATGTGCAAATTTCCATCTAATGTACTTAACTTCAATTAAAACATGACCTACAAGCAACGCGCTGAATTTGACTCATACCATAACAGCATTGTGGACGTAGGAGGGCAAGCAGGGCCGGTCACAGTTCAGACACTGGATGTGGAGAAAGGGTCCATTGAGACATATAGGGACATTAATCACTCACCAGGATTACAACATGTATGAGGCACGCTATTTCTTAACAATGTAACTCTTGATACCAACCCTACAATATTATAATGCAATACTAGTACAGCTAATGCAGCATTCAAGGGGAAATTTCTTTTTAAATGATGCTAGTCAAGAGCTAAAAACTGAAATAGCATAGAATGTGAGCCGCTCCGATGACAATGAATAACAGATGGGTGTTGTGAACAGACTGATGGAGGGGAATTTAAAATGAGGAAACGGGCACATATTATTATTAGTGAGAAGCATTCACTGCTAAACAAAACATGGATTGAAAAATGGTGCAACACTTAAAGAAGCAGCTTCATAATCTCATGATGACATGACATTTCATTCTGGGTTTTCTGGTTTCTGGGTCTGGGAGAGTTATTCGTGCTCACAAATATTTATTAAACTGTCTAAGATCAAACAAATATGTGAATTCTGCTCTGGACAACTGAAGCACCTCAAGAAAACCCACGTAAGAAACACAGGGGCATGCCATTCTCAAGTGTCAGAAACTCCTATGAACAGTTCCCTAGGACGTTCACATAAGGTGCTCAGTGACCGTTCAATCCCCTCATTTTGTGAAAGTGTACAGAAGACTACAACATCATCATCATCTTCCCCTCCAGCCCTTAGCATCAACAATGAAATTCACACCGAAGGCTGGGGAACATCAAAAGCTCCTTCATCTCTTTGACAGTGACGGGTCTGATGTTGCATACTTTTGCTTGAAAAAGAAAACCCCACAACAAACCCAGAGCTCTACTTAAAATACAACTACAAAGTCTCATTAGTGTGCATGACTGTGGATTTCACCAGATTATGACCTCAATCTATTATTGACATGGTGCCTGTGGACATAAATGATTTAGTATTACTAGATGACATTAATCAGCTTAGTAACAGTTGCCTGTAACTCCACCTTCAGTTGCGTTCTGAATTAAACTCCAGGGAGAAAAGGGGTTGGAAGAGTATGCAAGTAAGTGCTTGTGTCTCCCAAGTCCTTGGGAATGAACCCACTGAACTCCCAAAGGTGTTTGGGACCAAAAAATCGGACACCAACTCTCCCATCTAGTGGCCAAAATCTGTCATCGCTTCTGAAATCTCTGAAATGGAAATGGTAGGGTTTAAACCAGGCAACATGAGTAAATCTGTTGGTTTGTGTGGTAAAATGGGAGTGAGAGATCTACACAGAGGTGGATCTACTCATCCTGGACTGCCCTGCTACACATGTAAACCTCATTTATGACTGTAGCAGTGAAACTGTAGATAGACTGTAGCAGTGAAGAGATAAACATGCATGGTTTGTAGAAGAAATTTTGATTTATTGTTGTGAAAATGAAAATCTAAATAGGCAGATAACAATGAGACAATGAGTTTTCATTACATAATCAAACCATGATTTCTTGGTTAAGCTCACTGCCCCAAACTAAAATAGTTGCTTAACGTACTTGTTGTGAACATGTGCAATTTATAAACCATAAAATTGATCGTATAGCTCAGAAAGAGCAACTTATGACAACAGTGTTCCCATTTCTGGCATCTTAAAACACAACAAAACCTTTAGATAAAAACTATTCAGTTCAGTTGTTGGAAGACTTGCAAAATTATGAAGCTATGAAATGGAGGAACAGCAAATGCATGACCACTTTCAGTAACAAGTCACTGAACGGGCACATATTGAATGGTAGTTACCTAAAATCATTTCTTAAGACCACAGAAGCTAAGAAATTAATATGTTAAAACAAAGATAAAATATAAATATAAATGATAAAATAAAACCTATGATTTAAAAAAAACAAAAAAACAACCAACCTAGACTGCACCCTACAATTTTTGACCTATGGTTAACCTATTTGATTTTGAAGCTTTGCTTAAACACTAAACTAGAGTTTTAAATTTAATGTATTCCTCTAATGTTTCAGATGAGGGAAAACAAATGTGCACAGTGCCAATAAGGGCTAACTACGCTCACAGCAGAACTCCTTAGTCAACTGTGGTACGTGAACATTGATTTCTAGAAATCCTCTAACACAACAGCATACGTCTGGCTTACTCATCAGCATCTGCGAACTGGTCTTGCTCAGTGGGAATGCTGTAGCTGAACCATTGCATAGGGCGTGGGTGGTGTCGGGCTGGGCTGTAATTGGCTGTCACCGGCAGGTCAACTGTGTCCCTTTCTATAAGCGTCAAATCCCGCAGAGCAAAATGGAGCACATCTTCTGGACCTGGAGGAGGCAAAGAACACAAGTAAAACATTTGCACATGACCCAACTCTGAAAAACAGCTTTGAACCCCAGCCTGAGCAGCAATAGCTTGTAGTGAGACAAACCTTGAAGCCTAACCTTCAAGATGAAATTGACCATTAGCAATACTTGCTCATAGCATTTTTAAGCTCAAATCTAACTCATTTTGTCCAGATACAAGGCGGTAAGTTCAACTTGGTTCCAGCAGATTGAGACATAAACGTCAGCTTCCAGCAGTCGAAAAACAATGCCTTAAGACTGAAAATGTATATATACTGACGAGCATTATGTATTTCAGGCATTTTGTGTAGGCTAGTATCAATCCAGAGCTGTGGAGGAATAAATGTTTTTGTCTTTACCATATGGTCTGACCCCAAAAGGCATTTTTTCCCAGTCAGTCAGTGTGACCTCTTTGATCTCATTCTCCCAGTCTTCCTCCTCTTTCGGTGGGACCAGTGGGGGTGTCGAGTTCTCCAGACAGGCGGCCTCAGTGCCTCTATAAAAAGATTGTAGAATGCTTAAGTCAGTTTGAGACCTATCAGTCAGGCAAATTTCTTCTTTGCCTAGATACCAAGGAAAATCAGGAAAATCTTTATCCGACACTGTAGTTGTTTCTTGTCAATCCATGTTCATTAACTATTTCGTCAGGGAGCAGTGGGAGCTATTACCGGGACAGTTCTACATTTTTAGGAAAACATTTATTTGCTAAAAACATTGAGGAAGTATCTTTTATTCTACATCACGCTAATGCATTTTTCTGTAGCCTTTCCAACGGAACAGATATATTTCCATTTTAACCAATGCAATTGTATACAACAGCTCACACTAAAGTCATATAGGGAAAATTGAAAGGTGTGAGTGTGCATGAATTAATTTTGGACCGAATGATTTTATTCAAAGCAGCTGTAAGGTTGCTGGCGCACCTCTTCTTACGTCTGAATATCTTTCTTCTTCTCTGTTTCTTTGCTGTTGCTGACGGGCTGGGCTCTGGTGCCATTTGGTCAGAATTACAGGGCAAATCAACAGTGTCTAGACTGGTGGCACAATTCACTGAGATCCCACCTGGAAAGCCAGCACTGCAGACCCGGCCATCTGCTGAGGCATCGCCGACAACTGAAATCGTGCTTCCTTGTTTCCTGAATGTCCTCTGGGGTGCTCTTTTCCAACTCTTGCCCTTGTACCCATGGTTAATATAACCATTAACCATGCATTGTGATTTGGTACCATTCAGTGTGCCAGCTGGTGTGTTCTCACTCGTTCTAGTGTCAGCGGCTGGGCAGCCATTACGAACAACGGCTCCATTAACCAAACCTGTGCCTGGGACCTGACCGCTGACCTGACCATTGGCTTTACAGGTTCTGCGACTCATTCCTCTTCTTCGACCCTCATTGTTCATACCATTCTGAGGCATCGCGTCACCTGTATGGTTGGAGGGCTTGATGTAAGTGCAAAGAATTAAAGAAAACTAAACTCGATAATAATAAAAAGATTTTTACAGTGGAACACAATGTTTCACAAGTCACAAATAGATTAAGTACACATACACACAATATATATATATATATACATATACATACATACATACATACATACACACACACACAATCAGAGAGGCCTGCACAGCACATCCTGGTTGTGCTGGTCAAAATAAATCCAAATAATAATAAAACCAGTAAATGTATCTTTCACACTAGAATATCTTAAAATATATTGCAATGTACTAGTGTGAAATGCAATATGTATTTATGTATACATGTACTACACATTTCTTTAACATACACTGTAAATGTGTTTTTGATGCACTTGCAAGGCTACAGCCAACGGAGAAGCAAGGTGGGAGGAATTATTTTGTGCTTCCAGGGTTATGGAAGTAAGAGTCTTGTTTATTTTCTGCATCGACTTGAATGACATGAATTTTTGATGGCTAGCAGTTATTGCCAGTGCTTGGATGGGCTATGCTTCATGGAAACCTGTTAATACACAGTTTAAAATCATTTGGATTATGAGTCAATGTTGCGCCTCTGCTTGACTTCTTGATAGCAACAGTGGCTAAGGCTCACGGGTATGTAGTATTTAAGCCATTCACCAAACCAAACTGAAAAAAAAACACACAATTTCTCAGAAACTGTATAGAAATAATTAGAAAAACTACTGGCCACACCATAAGCCTATAGTATAACTCATCCAACAGACTTGCATGTCTTCATATTGAGGAACACTGAGGATAGAAAACCCAAATGGGAATTACAGTAACGTTATATCTCCCTTTTTACTAAGCAGAGTACATTTACTGCGCCCAGATCGATTTTGAATGAATATCTTCTTGGCCATTTTTTTCAAGTTTTGAGACTTAGCTGCCTCTATTTATAAAATGAAGTCTGGTAAAATGTTTCTTTAGGCAGCAGCTTTATAATGATAAACTGACTTAATTGTGAAGCTGACCCTGAAGCAGCATGGTATGACTAATGTTAACGGTACTATACTAATGATATCACTCTTAGCTAACCTTTTCTAGAAGCTATTAATTTGATCTTTAGTCACATTTTTTGAGGATCTTTTTCACTCTTGGTCCTTCAGTTACTGGGATTCAAAACTTAGGACACCGTCTTGTTTGATAGTAAGCCATGTTCCCTTCAAACACACTTTGTAACGTTTACAGCTATAACGTTACTAGTAGTAACATTATAGTACATTCAAGGACTCTTTCCAACTCAGATGAAAGCTATCACTTTGGCTCTGTGCTGTGTTTATATAAAGTTAATGCTAACAGCTAGCCAGCTAGGTACCTGCTGCGGCAGGCTAAAGTCCCCCATTAGCTAGCATTGTGATTGACCCGCTAACTGTTAACCGTTGTGTCGCCTGTTGACAGGTAATGGGCTTTAACACAAATTACAGTTTACAGCACAGATAAAGGAAAATCTCAATGAAGCAACCAAACCAGTAATTTAAATCCTAAATCAATTCAGTTTAATTTAGCTAAGTTAAGTCTTACCTGTAACGTTACCGTGGACTGCAGCAAGCATCCACCCGTGTAGCGCACACCAAGCGGCTCATCAAGATTGTGGGGATGGGACATAGGAATGGGTGGCGCCGGAACATAAATAAACATGACATTGTTATATATGATTTGGCAAGATATGTTTTCATACAAAAATGGCGTTATAGGAATACCCCAACGCAAACACACAGTCTGTTTAGAGAAATAATCATAATTTTGCTAACACCATTTAGCCTTAAAAGGCATGTTGATGATCCAACAGTGACCTCCAGCGACAGAAAAGTAACTTCTCAGACAACTCCTGCAACATGTTCTATGGCCATTTCTCAGAAACACTAAATGTGCTCCAAATCAGTTATGTCGCTGCAGACAGGTTTTAAAAGCCATTTGGAAAGTCTCCCGAATTAAATACCAGCTTTCAATTAACAGTGTCTTCCAGCTGTGGGGCCTGCTCATCATGCCATCTCTCAAAGTCCCTGTTACTTGCCAAAATAACAAAAAACACTAGGTGGCACTTAATCTCTTTGCCACTTCATAGTATTAAAAATATTACCTTGACATGACCCTGCTTGAATCATATTTTCCCAATGGCATTAACTGACACAATAATGAGAATATGCAAAGCCAATGGGGTGAGCACGAAAATGACTATTGAGTACTGTTCGTCCTAATCACTGAAAGAAAGAAGAGAAATGCGCGCGCGCGCGCACACACACACTCACACACACACACCAGTCATGTAAGTGGATAAAAAATGGTTATTTTAATGCCGTGTTAAATGTTTTTTTTTATTGACAGCAAAGTATGTACAACATAATGACATCAGCAGTGTACATGGTAGGCATACAATAAGTGGTTTCATGTTAAGAAAAAATTATAGCATGGAAATGGAAGTGAGGAGAAATAAACAGAGTTTGAAATGATAGAGAGAGCAGCACTGCCAAAGCCATTTTTATTGCTATTTAAAGTGACTATATCATATTGGATAGCCCTAATAATTCAATAAATGTAAAATTTAAAAGCTACAAGAAATGAGTTTGTGACAAATTTTACAGCTTAATGTACTGATTTTAAAAAAATCTAGAATGGCACGAGCAGATCTAGAGTGAAAAGATTTGTGAAGCAGAACATGACACAAATCAGCAGGTATTTGTAAATAAGTTAATATTGCTCACAATGCTCACAATTTAGTTTAAGGTAGGAAGACAGTTTACAACATATAAAAAGTCAGTTTAAAGCAATAGACTCACTGACACTAACAATTGAGAAATGCAATAAAACATCCCTCAATGCACTAAAAAATCATTACGTTGACAAAATGTTCCCAAAATGCTGACCTGTCCTGCGTACCATACAAAGCATTGTGCTATACTGCTTTTCTAATAGGACACCTAACCAATCACAAGTTCTTTCTTGATAAAACAGTATAAAATCGTTATCATAGTATCAATCTGAAAAAGAGTGGTGAGTGGCACATGAATACAAATTATCACTGTATAATTACAACATTTACAAGTCAAGAAAATGTCAGACATAGAATGTAGCTTCAAAAAACTATGTAAATCTATAGCAACGTCATCTTGAAAAATGTCCTCAAAAGGCACAGACAGAAGAAAAGGTGAACCATGCAAAAGGAAAAAAAGTGTTTTTGTTTTGTTTTGTTTTTGTGCAAGGAAGCAAAACTCAAGTTTAGAATAATTACATAATACAGCAGATTGTTTCCTATCTCCAAACAATCCCCTCTTCATTACAGTACTCAATACTGTGTGCATGTGAATTACAATGTATCTTTTACCAATTACAGGGATTTTAAGTCAAAAGGCCTTTTTTGGCCACACAGAAAGGGAAATATCCAGTTGTACATTCATGTTATTTATAGTATTAGAGAGTTTCAGAGGGCTTTAAAAACAATCTACAAACTGTAGGTTTCAATGAGATTGCTAATCCAGTCTTTTGTCCCAAAAAGTGAGTCTCCTGTGCATGCTCACCTACAATATTTGAGTTGATTTCACTGAGCATAGAGAGACGATTCAGTAAACCATGTTACAATGGCTACCAGTCACACCCACATAAATCCACCACACACCCTGTACATTCATATCCGTACATTTCTGTGCAACATCATTGAGTCTATTGCGAGCAATGGTGTAACTTTTCGAACATGGCTAGCAAATAGCAGCCATGAAAGTTACAGTTTAAAGACACTCCTTGGTTGCAGCTTCTGCTCCATAAAGTGACGCTCTACTACTCATCTGAACCAACTAAGGGCCACTTCTCAGTGAAAAAGCTTCACTTTTGGACTGATTGACACAGTTGCAAGGTTACTGGAAGACATGTTCTCAAGAATAAACATAAAACGCAAAAATCTTCACCTTCAATTAGCCATCACCGACTTCACTAAAACCCTGCTTTGCTAGCAAACATGGTCCATCATCTGACTCCCCACCTCTTGATGCTTTTCTTTTTCTTTCTTAAAATCTTCATCCCCCCTTATAGATATAGGGACTCTCACTGTTTTCTTTCTCTGACCACTTTTGCCACTTTTCTCTATCTTCTCTTAAAGCGTGCCAGTCCAAATACATCAACATGCATTCCTCAGAGAACAAAACATGGGCCGGCAGCACTCGATTGGTCCGCCTTCATGCCTCTGAGAGTCAGGTTTACAGTCTGTCTGCCAACTTATTTGTCTGTCTCACAACTGTTTCTCTCTACATCATACCAAACTGTCTGTCTGTGGATATTACAGCGAGTGTTATACCAGGATACAGTACAATAAATGTCAGGTTTATTACATTGTCCCAGTTTTTATACCAAGGTAAATTATGCCCAGTGAACAACAGTGAGCGACTCTGTCGATCCTTGAAGCATGTAGAGTGCAGGATATTCCTGCAAATAAATCACCAGTTCAAAGTTGTGACAGTAATTACAGTTCACAGCATAGACAACAAATAAAAACAGAGCAAAGGGTAGATCAAGTTGTCACAGTAGTATGACTTACAGTCAGACTCAGAGAGAAATCACTGGTTGAGAAAACTCCCTTTAGTTCAGCACAGAATCCTTTTCTTCTCTGAAAGAGAAGTTCATTTCCCACCACAAACAGCAGGGGGTGATGCATGTCTATTTATATGTTCCAGTTTCTAGGACTGCCTCTGGTTCTCTCTGCTTTCCTGTACAGAGTCCTGACTCAGGTTGCAGGTTCAGATCAAACAACTGGAATGATCCTCATTCTCCTGAGACCGGGAACAATTCTCATTCCAGCTGAGTCACTGCTAGTTCTTGATCTCCAGGATGGAAGGGTTGTGGTCCAAGATGGACAGGATGATTTTGTCCATGTACTGACGCAGACGCAAGTTAATTTCTTCCTGCTCCTTCAGGGCTTCCATTAACTGGGGAGAGAGAAGTATGTCAAACTTAAATATGTCAATTTAATTTCAGTTTATCACCAAGGTAAAGTATTTTAACGCAAGAGTTTCTTAGTTTTACTCTGGGACTGTTGTTACAGCTAAAATATTCTGCACTTCCCATTGGCTACATACAAATTCTTTCTTATGGGTAGGCTAGACTCCTTAATCACCTAATTGTTTAAACTCTAATGCTGTTATAGGTAGATTTTATATTAAGCATGCATAGCTTTTTTCCTTAGCATTTTTTTGGTGTCTATGTGTGAGATACAGCCATGGAGGTGATCTGCATATTATGCATATTCCATTCAAATCTAAAACACTGAAATGTGTAGAACGCTGCTCTTCTGTGGTATGTCCTAGCCATACAGTTATACTCAAACTGATGCATGTGAGGCACCTATAAACTTGTTCGGATATAATTCATTTAAGAAGCTCTGTGGTTTGGAGAACAGTCAACAACGACAATACAGAGTTGTTCAAGACTAAAATATGCTTTCTGATAAAGTAATCTGTGTCTTGTCCTGAATTTACCTGGTCTCTGGAGGCATTCTCTATCTCAGCGGCTAGAGACTGGGCCTTGGTCTGTGTGGCAAACAGGGTCTTGGCTTCATGTAGACTGAGGCTGAGGATCTGACCGTTAAGCTCATCATTCTGCTCCCTCAGCTTCTGGTTCTCCTAAAATACAGAATCAGGGTGGGAGGTAGAAGAGGGAGAGATAGGAAGCGAAAGAGATAAGTATCTCAATGCGCAGTGCATCAGGAGTGATGATGCTATTTAGATTTCTTTTAAAAGCCTCACTCAACCCATACGACAAAACAAAGCAGCAAACACAGAAATGCACTATTTTGGCAACACCTACGGGACATAACATGGGTTATGTGTGTTACAGAACAAACTGCTCCCCTGCTTTGTCTGGTGTGTTATGAAAGCTCCAGGATTAAGTTGCCTTTTGAGTGCTGACATGAGGTCAGTTTGCTTTTCCCTTGCTCTATCCTTAACCGTTAGTGAGGGAATTGCAGCGCTGACCCCAACTCAGCTCGGGCAAGTCCGCTCTACTCCATTGTGATTAGTGGTTAATTGGGAGGTCAAAGGTCACAGAAGCAATTTTACCATCAGACCAGGACGGAGCCGAGCCCCAGACAACACCAGGTGCTGGAATTCAGGGGGAAGAAAGTCCTGGGACACAAATCGCTGGACACACACATACAGACATTTAAAGAGGTGCACAGGCAGGTATAAGATTGAGCTTATCCTCATGGATGTTACAGCGCAGTTTCTCTAAAATTAGGGCTCCTACCCACACACAGGTACATAATTTGTTCAACAACGGACAATCAAACTGAATTGTTCCAAGTAGCTCAGGTTAAGAAGTTGATATATTGACAGAGAAATTATTTGCGGTATAAAACTGTTCCCCTTCATGCTTGCGTGCACTTAGTGGCAAGTTTGATCTCAAGCAAAAGGAGGACACGGTACTTATCTGATGAGATACACATGCTGTACAATTCAGCAATTCTAACTGACTGGCTATGCATCACTTACAAAATTACTTCACACTGTTGGCGTAAAAACTCTGAAGCTTCATTTCTAATGCATATCAACACATCATCATGAGAATGAGTCAGACACAGACTTCTATACAACTTCAACGAGCGTTAACATCTACTTTTACTAGTCTTATGAGAGACGACATCTGAGGAAGATTATCATCTACTCCCTTATTTCTGCTGTTTACTCTGCACCTGGTCTGTACACTTTGCAGGACTGGAAACAGTAACTGGACATTTGAGTCTCTAACTGTGGCAGGCAGATACCTAGAGGCAAAACTTTCAATGCCAATACTGAAAATAAAGAAAAACATACAGACAACATGTACTCTGCAGCTGGTATTTTCAGAAATTGTGACGGATCTAAGTTAAGCTCCACTGGACTCCACAAATCTATTACTAAACAATCAATACAACATGTAGAGGACAGTGCAGCTTTTAAAGGGGATTTTAAGGGAATGACAGGAGCCAATGAGATTGACTGTGATCGTTACTACCACCTAAGCCCATTGGTAATGTATAATAATATATATTTCAATGTGTGCCCTAGGTCCACCTAGCATCTGCAGTCATGACAATAATAACGCTGTCATGTTCCTCTGGCAGTACAAAAAACAATTTATGGTGTTAAATGGAAATTGTTATACTCCTGTAAGAGAATGTTTGAGTGCATTGAGTTCTGCAGGGATAAATATAACTCAAGGATAAATCCATGTACTGCATCATCTGAAAGCATCTGAATCATCGTACAGGTACATCCACCCAGGAGCTTTAGAACTGGTTATAATATAAGAAATGTAAATGTATTGTGTTGCTTCATCGCAACTGTGCCATTTCATAAATAAAAGATGGCTGGACAAAATTACAAGGCTGGGTATTTGGCCATTGAAATAATGCAGGGATTAGCAGAATTTGCATTATGATGATTACAAAATTGAAAATTCCCTAAGGGACTGACAGAGAGGCAGTACTGTACTCCATCAAAAATGCATCAAATTGAGACACAGTTTCGAAATCAAGGATAGGAATTGTCATTTGTTCAATGTTTGAAGAAAAACTGAGCAGCATTCAACCTGTGAGGGTATTATTAATTATGTAGCTTGCTTAGAAACTTTCTTTATATATGACAGCCTTCCTGGAGACTAGCAGTTGTGCAAACACCAACAGATTTTAGAAAGCTGAACTTTATGATTATCTCCGCATCTTAAAGCACACTCGGTAGCTATGCACATAGCTAACTATGCACAACAAAGACATTTGAACAGAGCCTTTCATCGTTACCTGCTTGAGCCTCTTGACCTCATGCTCTAGCTCCACCTCCCTGGTCCTGCTGTTGAAGTCTGCCAGCCCAGAGGAAGAGCTGCGACTGCGGCCAGGCCTCTCTGTCTCCAGCTTGAAAAGCTGCAAATGCTCCAGCTCTCGACGCAGGTCCTCTATCAGCTACACACAGACAAAGGTTAGATGAACAATGTTATATAATGCCAGTGCAGTATTTTGTAGGTGGATGAGCCAGCATGATTGCAGTGAGAGAGAGGAGTGAAAGAGAGGAAACAGCATGACCAGAAGAGCAAACAACCCACGTGCGTGTGTCTGACTGCATAAAATAGTCCCTCCCACCTCCTGCATGTCATCCTTTTCTTTCTGGAACTGGTGTCTGTTCTGTCTCAGTTTGTCCATCATTTTTCTATAGAGGTCCATCTCATCCTTCAGGCGCAAACTGGTGTCCTCCAGTTTGTCTGTCATCCTTTGTTTCTCCTGAAGAAGGACAGATATACACACATAGTTATAGTTTGTAGTTTGTTTTTTGTTAACCATTCCGTTCAGTTATTGGAAATCCGGCATTCCCATTTAAAGTATGCAATTATTAAATTATTAAATTTTGAAAACCCAAAAAGACATACACACATACTGTATCTACACTGATACTTTTGTACATATACACAGGTTTCTGGAATCAAAGGTATTTGGGGTGCATTCATTCAAGAAAATCCCACATACACGTCTTTCCATATGGAGTTTGGATGGATGTTTTCTATTTTCTGTGACACTACACTGTCACACATTCTTATTTTCGGTGAGTTAGTGTTGATAACTATCTGGTTAGGTGTCATTTACTGTAAATGGGTTGTTTCTAACACCTTATCTTCATCACCTTAAATAAACCTACTGGGTCAGGTAACCAGCTGCTTCAGATCAGCCCAAAACAAAATGCTTCCTTGATGCTGACATTAGTCAGCCTAGAGTATCGATATTTCTGATACCAACGTTTCCTGCGCTAGGATCGATACTCATATAAAAGGATCGATATCTAAACTCAGTCATTTGGAGTGAGTGTGTGTTTTATCATAAGTATCTTACTGTCACCAGGATGGTCTAATTATACTCTGTTGATAGGAACTACATTTCCTTCCGCCTGTCAAAGTCATGCTTGTGCTACAACTCTGTGACGGAGCTTCTTTGAAGTGAGTTGCTGCAGCCCTTTACATTTCCCCGATTGAATACTGACTCTGGCTGGCTGTAAAAACAGTCACGTCTGGCTGTATTTTAGCTGTGAAGGTAGTAATGTTGCTCTGTGTGATGTGTGTGCAAGGACAGTGAAATACTTTGGAAACACCGCAAACTCCCCTAAACATCTGAGATTAAGTCTGTCACATTTAATAGGATGATGTTATGAAGCAGCAGTTCTGAGCAGGATATTTTTATTCTAATTAAAGAATACAACAGTAGTTTGAGGTCTTGTCATTATGCAGCTATTATTTTGAATAGGTAAGGCTACAGCCTACTCCTTATTTCTCTCATAAATACAGAAACGGGAGGGGGGAGGTTAAATTAAACTAGAAATAAAATATGTAAAAAGTATTGGTATCGGCAATACCAGCCTGGGTATTACTTGATATTGGATCGGATAGGAATTAAGTGGTATCGCACATCACTAGCTGACATATTTAAGCTAGAAATTGGAGAATTTAGAGTGTTTGAGGCTCTGCAATATAGTGCTCACTTCTATAATCATATCCACCACAGTTGAGATGCGATGCGACCTGAAAAGAAATAGCCAAATACAAAATATATTTAGCCTAATGTTGACTTTTTATTTCATGGGATACACAAACACAAGTCTCCTGATTCAAAGGTCCTGGCCCTCCTTTTACCCCAACCATGTTCTCACTGAGTTTTTTCTGTTAAATATCATATACCTGCCTTTACCACCACAAAATGATGTTACAGGGCTTCCCCCACTGCGTTGACATATGACGCAATAGTGATCCCTAGTGCGTTACAAACGCCGATAGGCCTTGACCATGTGACAAGTCAAGGAGTGAGAACGGGTTGTAGGCATGGTGTTAACTAGAGGATAGCCAGGAGGAGTTTAGCTCACCTTAATATGACATCAGCTCCCCTAAAAGCATGATTTGTGATATTTTGGGGGGTCTCTAAAACATTCACAGCATGCTTTAGCTATTAATTTCTGTATCATCAAGGATCTTGCGTAAAATCAGAAGTGTCAGACTTCATCCAGCCAGAGGGAACGAACACCGACCGTCAGCAGCGGGCCGGTCGCTCCGCGATCTTCTGTCCCTGTACGCTCCACTGCCCTACTCCCTCTCCGGTAGGGATTGTGTCCCTATTGATTGATCCCTCTGGCTGGATGAATATTAGGCATGATCCATGTTCTACTGCAGCTGGGAGCTCTCTGCATCGCCACGCAACTATCTAAATTCTTCCCTCTCACGGAGAAAAAGAAAGGTCAGGTCGCAAACACAGTCGCAGTTGTTGTGTGATGTGTTGTAGCAAAATGGCTACATATGATAATAATAATAGGCTAACTATAATTATAATAATAATAAAAAGACAAACATGCCTGAGATCCTTTGTTTTCAGTTAAGGGTTTAAAACAGAAAAACAAAACAGACCTGTTTTTTTGTTTACCGTTTTTCCATTTTTCCGTTTTGGTTTTAAAACAGAAAAAACAAAAAAGAAATAATGAAAGAACCATACACTGATTTTTATTCCACACATTCTTCTTTCTAGTCAAATTCCGGCGCCAACATTACCCAAAAATCAACTCCACCTCCAACAGTTCGGTTGAAGATCTAGGTGCGTTATACTAGCTAGTAATGTAGCTTCTAGCTGCAAGCCTCAAGCAGAGATTTATTTCTAACCACCATATTTTTACATTTCCAAACTTGTAGTGTGCCTCAAGTGACATCACTGGATGCAATGTATGAGATTTGAGACTCTTTATAAAACTTTTTTCACTAACGTAGAAGTACTTTTGAAGACCTGTAAACAGAATTAGACAGAATAAAGAAAGGACAAATAAGATAAAAGAATGCAAATGGTAAATATGGCTTACCTCATCCAGTTTCTCTGTCTGTGATTTGAGCCGGCACATGTTTTGAGCAATGTCAGTGTTCTCCTCCTCCAGCACCTTAACTCTAAAAAGGCAAAATCCTATGTATCAGTTTACTTTTATATATAAGTTTGTTTCATAGTCAGCTAAGGCACCGATTTAAGCAAATGTCCACATTATGCTGTAGCTCAAGAGACTACTGACTATAACCCCTGGAGGAATCTCTGAGCTCTGTTTAGCATACAGTTTTATATTCAGCATTTTCTCTTAACAGGCAGGCACGTCAGTGTCCATATCCTGATTGAGGGGTTTTAAATGTAACCCTGTTTAGTCTGTTTTTACATTAAAAACCCTAATGTACAATGTTTCTCAGCATTAGATTATACACTTCAATTAATTCACGCAATGAATTCAAATAAATGTTTTTTATGCATTAGTATACTTGATTATTTTTGTGTTTCTAACCGATTGGTCAGCAGCTCTATCTGTATGTTCTTGTCTCTCTCCATCTTGCTGTAGGCCTCTCTGTGTCGTTTTAGGGTCTCCTGCAGATTTTGTTCTGCACGTGTCTCCTGGTCTTTCAGCTGCTCCTCCAGTTCATGAACCCTGAGATGATGAACACATCACACAAAATTAATTCAATACAGTATCATTACTGAGTGTTGCGTTTTGAAACAGTGAATACTAAATCACTGTACTCTGTTGCATTATGTCTGCAAGATAAAAATAAATCTTGTAGTGTATTTCTGAAACCAAGTTTTCTGACTCTACCTGTGTACTAGTTGTGTGTTATCCTGCTTCAGCTTGGACTTGAGATCGCCGTTCATCAGAATCTCATTCTCGAGTTCTGCCACTTTCTTCTCCAGAGAACTCACCTGATAGAAGCAGAGAAGTAGTTAAACATAGTTAAAATAGACGATTATATTCAGGGATCTACGATGATGTATGCCCAAAAATGCTGTATGAAAATGGGGAAATATTCCTCAACATAACAACAATATCATATCAGGTGAAACTAAAGTGAGTCAGATGCTAGATTCATAATGTTTATACATAATGCACTAAACAACAACACTTTAACATACTTCCTAAAAGTAACTTAGCAATTCCCAAGGTTTTAAAGCCTTGAAAATAATGAACCTATTCCTTGAATTTGCAGACGCAAGAGGAATCCTGACAGGGCTCATCCTGTGATTTAGCATTCTTAACTTAAGCTGTGCATCCACCTGGAACAACTCTCTACTCTCTGTGATTTTAGAGCAAAAAAAAGGCTGAAGGTGAGGTATATTAAAGCTTTCACGAGGTTTCAGTAGGCTTGCAATGAAAGAAAGAGTAATCACTACTTCCCACACGCATTTGTTCTGTACTTGAAAAAGTTTAGTTTAAATAAAATAAAGGTCGGTTGACACAGATCAACATAAGGACAAACAGACGCATTCATACCTTCTCATTGATGTCGATGTCACAGGAGTCGATGCTGTCTCGGAAAAGGTCTTCTGTACTGCCGTTACTGCTGCTTAAGTTGCTGTTGTGAAGCAGCTGCCTGCTCAAACACACAGAGACACACAAACGTACAGAATCTGCCAGGAATAGATCCAGGTAAGCACCAGCTGGTTCTGAGTGCGTTTGCATATGTGTGTGTGTGTGTGTGTGTGTGTGTGTGTGTGTGTGTGTGTGGCAGAGAGTAAAAAAGTAAGACAGAGAGGAAGTGTGCTCCATCCTGCAGTGATGCTGCTGTAAGATAGCATACTGTAGATGATACAGGACTATAAGGACAGTGCCAAGCAGAGAAGCTGGTGCAAACAGAATTACTGTAAAATTAGTCCACACACACACAAACACGCGCACACAAGTGTTTATAGATCACACAATCAAGTGTGACACTGATGCTGTGATGTAACTACAGCTGTCCCCTTTTACACTGATGGAATAACTTGAGAACAGCAAGCTCTGATCCATTACTGAGATTGGCAATATGGAGAGGAGAAAGGAGGAGAGGGAAGGATAAGAGAGCAGAGGTGAGGAGAAGAGAGGAGAGGAGATAATAGACTAGGAGAGGAGGAAGAGAAGAGAGAGAAGATACATTTAAAAAAGAGGAAACAGAAAGGAGAAAGAACAGATAAAGAGAGCAAAAAAGTGAAATACGTAATCAAACCAGATAGTGAGGACAGTAGAAGGAAGAGGGGGAGGGCGCCAAACCTCATATTGAATACATAGATCAGGTCTGACAGGCCATTTTCACTCTGTCACTGTAACTCAGCAACTGTGGATGGAAATAGGACTAAAGCCTAGATACAAAACATTTCACCCAGTACAGACCAACCAGCCATGAAGAGGGATACATGGCTGCCACTGAAAAAGCTGATGTCCAAACTTTTTTTGTCAAATCAAAAACAAAAGATTTAACAGATCAGATTATTTCCATCCAGACCTCCTGTATTTTCTCTCAATAACCGGTTAGTAATTAACTGGCTTTTAGAGCACAATGGCCGGGCAGCTGATAAGGAAGCAAGTTATTAATCTTGCTGTGTGTGTGTGTGTGTGTGTGACTATGCCAACAAACAGAGCAAACACGTGCAGCACAGACTATGTAATACATAAACACACAAGTGCACAAGTGAATGACCTTCCCAGTAGACACACACAGATGCACACTTGGACTCACACACACACACATACAGGTGAGTGGCCTACCTTCCAAAAGCAGTGCTGGAGATTTTCCTGTTGGGGCTCCAAAGGGAAAAACAAGACAGTGAATTGCCATGGATATGTCTAGACTTACATTTCAACAATGCACTAGAAATAACTTCTGATGGCAATTAAGATTTGGCGATTCCATGACATGTGTGTGAGAGAGAGAGAGAGAGAGAGAGAGAGAGAGAGAGAGAGAGAGAGAGAGAGAGAGAGAGAGAGAGAGAGAGAAACACTGAAGGACATGTCAATGATAATACAATTTCACTCCTGGTTCAGTGAGCGGGGGTTTCTGTCAGCTCAGCAACTGTCTCAGAGGGACAAAAGACCAAAGACTCTTTCAGTCTGACGTGTCTGTCTGTGCTGGGTTTCACATTGGATTAACAAAAATGTGCAAACACACTGGAGGGTCACACAAATGAGAGTTAGAGAGACAGGAGTAGACATAAAACTAACATTGTCATCAACTCCTGCTAAGGGTAAATTAATACAGAGCCATAGAATATACAGTATGAGAACTTTTATAAAACATCTATTCTGTGCAAATACAAAAACTATCACTGTGGCACCCATGTCAAATAGCTTTGAGCGTGTTTATATTTGTGTTTGCTAGGTCCGAGGGTTATTGGGGCTGAAGTCGACTATGTAATATACTATTCTCACTACATGAAAGATCAAACAGGATGTTTTCAAATTCACTCATTCTGGTTCAATAGTACCGTGAGCTAAGTCACATTCAAGATGCTCAAAAGAGATGTATCAGATTCAGTGCAGAAAGCAATTGTGGAAAACAGAGGAGTACAAAAACATAACTGACGAGGGTGTAAAAAGGCTTATCTTCCTTCCTTTCAACATTTAGATAAAGCATAGTTTTACAGAGAATGTATAATCCTGAGTGACAAAACGATCCCTCTACAGCTAATGTTTCAGTTAACCTAATGTCCTCTGAAGACATCTAAGAGGCTTAACTGAATAGCAGAGTTGCTGCTTTCTTTTCAATCTCTGAACTTTTATCTACACAAAATGCGCACATTTATAATTAAACAACATTTCTGTGTAAAAGCTCTTTCATTTACTGGTGCTCTTATGTACAAAATAAACTTATTAAAATGCTTTGTGTTTCTACATTTACACGCTGTGTATTTTTGTGGTTGCGCTACAACTCTTTAATCCTGGCACCACTGCTTCCTCCCATAAATTCAAAGTTATTCATCTACCTGACCTGCTACCCATTAATTTTATATTTATACTCCCTCCTCCCCAAAATCAATTCCCTGCACCATTCCATGTGGATACAGACTGTCCACATCCTCTGAGCTCACTCCATTCAAAGTAATTTCTCCAACTGATTATTTCTTGTTCTTGCTCTTTCCACTAACTCTTTCTTTCTGCCCATCTCTGCTTCATTATTCATAAGGGGAAAGCATGTGTCTAATTAGGAGAGCCATGTTGGATTATAGAGCCATTTCTCCCTGGGGAGAAATCCTGCTGAGTCTGCAGAGAGTCCAAGTAACAAAGAAAAAAAGTGACTCCACAGTTCACACTATATTCAAAAACAATACTCTGAAACATTTAGTAGTCTCAGATAACTCCCTGTCTGTGTGTGTGCGCACTTGTGTTTGCCGGTGGACAGAAGAGCTATTAATGGTCACTAGGATTAGGTTTCCAATAATAGATTCTCTATTACAATGGTTGATGAGGTAAGCACAGGAATGACTGCCTTATATAACAATCAATTAGTGTGTGTGTGTGTGTGTGTGCTTGTGTGTGTGCATGTTTGTTCTGAAACAATATAACATCATTCTTATCACATTATACTAAGATCACATAGCAAACAGTGAGTCAGCCTCACCAGTTCGATGTGAGTGGACCTATACACTTCAAACCCCTCGGTGTGTATCCTGTACAATACACATAATAGCTGACAGCAATTGCTGTCTCACCTAAAAACAGTGTGGTGTGCAGCTCCTGTCAGGTATAATAAAGTTCTTGTCTTTTAATTTGCCATGGTTGTGTCTAAACATAACCTGCCAGAATAATTAATGCTAACCATGTGGAGTTACATTAAGATTCATTTGAATAAAAGTGGCAGGAAAACTTGCAGTCAGCAAATACATAATGGTGATTTGTTTAGATTTTTCAGTCAGAATAAGTTTATGGTGGTCAGTGGGAAAGTTTGAGGGCAGGAAAGAGCTAAAAACTGTGTAAAAATGTTGCAGCTCACAAAGACATTTTGAGGGATGTAAGTCTTACAATACTGTGCCATAGTGTGTTGTGTGTGTGTTTGTATCCCGATGTGTGTCCTACCTATTAGCCTTGAGGTTTTTCAGGCGAGCCTCCAGGTCATTTAGCAGGTTGACCTTTTTGCTGCACTGAGAACAGAAGACGTCCATTGGTTCACCAGTGTAATGCTGACGCACCTTACGAGGAGTTTGGCCCGCACTGTTAACACACACAGAGACACACACACGTTTAATCTGCAGATAAATTTAGAAGAACTCATTTTAAAATAACTGGTTTTGCTTTACTTGCGCATGTGTTAACATACAAACACAAATTGAGTGTGTAGAGAAATGAGGCTACCACATACATATACAACCACATAACCGGTGCCAATACACCTAGAACCCTAACCGTAATCCATTGGCTATGCACTAAATAACCTTAATAAATATTTTTAACTGAAACAGAGCAAAAGAAGTAATAAAGAGTGAAAGAAAAAAGTTCTAAATGTCTATGAGATGAACCAGATCTTCTGGGACAGTATGTTGGGAAGGTGCTGACACTCAAAGCAAGGCAGCAAAACAATGACCTCATTACCAAACCTTTTGCCAAAATAAAGAAAAGTCATAACGCATTGTCATTTCCAAGGTCTGACAAGTACGTACATGAAGAACCACTCCCAGATTTTGTTATAGTTTCACAAGTCAACACAGTTCACAGTTGAGTTTTAAAATTTGAACCTCAAACTCAAAAACTCAAAAAGTCAACAGTTTTGGTTTAGGAGCCACTAAAATTAGTGAGTGTACCTTTAACCCACTTTGTACTGTAGTTATCCAAACTTCTTTCCCATGCTGAGTTGCCTAAGACTTCTTGTAAATCTGGGCCTCATTTTGAATTTAAATCTCCACGCCAACTCCATTTGGTGAGTTTTGTCTGCTTGGTATGCGTGGAAGGAGCATAGAGCAGTCTATCGGCCGGGAGACTTAATCCCATTAAACACAGGCCTTTGATGAATATTAATGTGGCCTTAAGGGCAAGAACTCCTAAGCTACATTTCTACAGTCAAAACTCAGAATAATATGAGTCAGGTAACGATGCTGGAGTTTGTGGAATGCAGCCTCAAGTCCATAATTTTTAATAGAGCTGAAGCTACAGAAACTAGCCACCTTTGAGAAATAACAAAGAAGCCTACACACAAGTAAAATAATTATTATATATAATAATCTGCACTTAGTAGCACAGTGGATCCCAGGCCCTGGTCTGCAGACTAGTGCTGGGCCACTAAACATTTGCTACTGGGCCTAGAGGAAATGCTGAGCAATAATTATATATCTTCATAGCTATTTGTAGGTTAATTACCTTAACCTTGCCACTCCCTGTCACACCCAAAACAACAGGACACTGATTTTGAACTGAAGTTGGTCATGAGTACACGACATAATCAATCCGTCATCACCCGCTTAGCTACACAATTAGTGTGTGCGGTGATTTGATTACTTTTGCTAAGCTAACATGGTTAAAAAGCAAAAACATCAAGAGTTTGAGAGAGAGTCTGACACAACTTGAGAGTTTCTTCGGAGGAGGTAGGGGAGAGACCTAAAATGCATGTTTTAATATCTAGATGTGTGCTTTTTATTGTGGTTGTGGCAATGTAAAAACCACTGCAGCAGCAGATCTTTTAAATGATCAGGGATTGCACAAGAATGACCTGATGTTATCTATTTGAGGCAATTGTTTCATAATCAAATTAGATGACAATGTTTCTTTGTCTAACTCTCTCTTACCTAGAGGGAACAGATGAGCCAAGGTCGGAGTATCCGTTGGTACGAGTCTCGTCGTCCGGGCAGGGGCTGCTGGGAGCGTAGTCTGGTTCCTCCCCTTCTCCGTAGTCCTCAAACTGCTCCTCGTTCAGAGAAGCTGAAGAACGCGTTGATAGGTCAGAGGTCACTGAGATACTGGTGTGACCACACCTGAGGAAAAAGAGATACTTACTTACACTCTGCATACATAATCCTTATTATCATTTTGGGTGGTGAACTAAAACAAAAAGTAATTTGTTTCAGATTCTGATTAAATGAATGAATGGTGAGCATAATCAATTGTGGACTAAAGGAAGTTTTAGAGACCATGAAGCAAACAGGTAAGCAGAAGTAAAAAAAAGTTGGGACTGTTCTTACTTGTCCCCAGGGAAAAAGAGATCCCCCAGCGATTCCTCCTTGTCCCCTGGTCTGCTCAGCCCGTCTGACGTGTCAGACCCTTGAGTGCTTTCCACGGCACTGTCTCTGTCTGATTCCCTCTCCCTGCCTTCGTCTGCCACCTCCTCCTCAGCCTCCTCCACCTCTCCCGGGAACAGTTGGCACTCAGGGACGGGGTCAGGATAGGCCCGTGTGCACATGATGACCGGACAAGCCCGCTCCACCTCACCGCCCTGGAGAATCATGGGAAGAAAGGCAAAGACAGAGAGGAAGGAGGGGGAAAAAGATTTGATTGATGAGTAAGTTTACAGAAGCATTTACAGACACCTGTAAAAACAGAAACAGAGCTTGACTGCGGGTTTTGTGAAACCATTAATTACTTTCCAGTGATAGCATCATTTGCAATAGCATTATGTTCTGTTGCAAGCAAACATCCATAAATCTACTTCATTTATAAAAGAAGCTCTTTATAACTTCAGATCTTGCCACATAACTATCATGTTGTCACATGTAATGTTGTCGTGGAATTAAAGTACTACAGTGATCGTATTGTTTGCGGTCTTGGCTTGGCAAAAAAAAAGCAATAACTCTCCAAAATATATACAAATTTTTCATAATTTTTTTTGCCAAAGCAAGTACCTTAACTTGTTTTTGTAGAGCTGAACATTTGTGGATTCTATTTTAGGGGGGACTTCCCATTTAGTAAATTCCTTCACTGTGGGAATGGACTTAAGTTGACATAGAAAGTCTGGAGGGCTAGAAGGGTGAAAGGGCAACAGGTCAAAGGTCGCAGGTCCTGCTCCATCTAGTTTCACTCTTTAACGGCTCAACTCTCGTCTAATGCAACAGAGAACAAGGACTTATCTCAGGATGACTGAACAGCTGAAACACACAGCAGCATGAAGGAGGAGGGCAGGTGAAGAGGTAATCAGCAGGGTGACTAATATATCGGGTAGGAAGTAAAAGAAAGGTGGAGGGGTAGTGAAATAGACATGGATGGCGGTATGGATGGATGTGGGGATGAAGAATAAGTACAGAAGAGAAGAATACAGCAAACAAGTGAGGAGCAAAAAGAGAGGGCATAAGGAACAAAGCCAAGAAGTAATGAAAGCAAGGGTTAGATTAGACGAGACGAGTGTGAGAGCTGTGAAGAAAGACAGGAGAGACAGAGAGATAACAAAGTAGCTTGAGGACAGTCAGGTCTGCATTAGCCACCATTAAAGACTACTAAAAGATTTCAGCAACTAATACTGCACTCTAAGACTGCACTCTGTTTCTTTTACACTCACACAGCGTTGTGTCACTATCTTTGTGGGGACATGAAGACATAATGCCTTCCCTAGCCCCTTACCCTAACCTTAACCATCACAACTACATGCCTAACCTTAACCGTTACCCCAACCCGAACCTTAAAACTTGGCCCTCAAAAAGCCCTTTAAACTTGTGGGGTCCAGCATTTTGGTCTCCACAAAGACTACAAGTATAATTGAGTCCAAGTTTTTGGATGAATATAGTAAAACAAGCCCACACACACGCAACCCTGATTTTTCATCTTTTAAGCTCCACAGATGTAGAAATCCTGGCTGAAGAGTGAATTTTCAATCCCATACTAGGGACGTATACCAGAAGATATATAATATAGAAAGCAATTGACAAAAATCCAAATAGCTCTCTTTGCCATTTTGCTTTTGAGTTGATTTGTTATGGCAAAATATTGAATGCCAGATTATCTGTTCTGAATAATGTATTGATATTTGTTTACTTCCCTATCCCACACCAAACCAACACACACACACACACACACACACACACACGCCTATGTACACTTAAATTAAAAAGCACCCTCTCAACTCATAAACTGAGGCTCTGTACTCTTACAAAGACCCAACATGGGGTCTGGTGCTGAGTCACAAAGAATAAAAAGAAAGGATAAAGGTTCCCTGCAGCAGAAAAAGAAACTGTGAGAGGCAAGAAAATAGGAAGCCCCACCCCTCCGTACTCCACACCACACCACACACCAGTCCAAAAAACTGGACAAGCTAACACAGAAAGGAAAGTTTGACACCTGTTGTACTCATGCTGAGGAGGAGAGCAGAGAAAGTTCATAAGTAATAAAGTAATACAATGTAGCCTACATAATATTAACAAATAATGTTAGAACTAGTCAAAAAAAAAAAAAAATTAAGAAAACATAAGTACATTGCACTCTGCAAATCACTTTGAGTTAAGGAAAATAGTGAAAAAATGATGATCAAGGGAGAAGCTGTGTGTTTGTGTGTGTGTGTGTGTGTGTTTACAGTATGTCTATCTCCAGAAAAGCCTAGGGGCTGTAACTGCCAAAACATGAGCCTACAGAGTTGTTTTGAGCTGCTTGATTCCTCATAGCACAAACACAGCTATAACCTGCCAAACAGCGTCCAACCTGTCAGTGGCTTTGAACCAAGGACACCAAAGTGCTTTTAACTGCAGCGGCTCTGCCTGACGCCTGACACACCTTCACATCAACCTTTAGCCAAAGGAGTATTTTTATTATTTTTATCATCATAAAATGTTTGCTTGGGCCAAAACAGTTCTGTTAATTATGATTCATCAGCAGGTGTTACAAAATGGATTAACCTACGACTGTCTGAAGCCTTTCAGTGTTTGGTAGTACTCCTAATGTATTATACAACTTCTATTCTGGTGTATTTGTTTTGCAGGATGGTATTTTTACATATCAAAAGCATTTTTCAAAAGGCAATGGAACCCTGCTTAATAATACCCACAAACTAACACCAACTCAAGATTACTATTATTACTTTCAATCTTACTAATATTATGTAATGCTTATGCCTTATACTGAGAATGTTTACCAAATATAATGTTAAATAGTTCCAAGAAATAACAAAAATGTTTTACCTGATAGAGAATATATACTGTATTTTGATATAAAAACAGATATAAAAATATTATAAAAACTGTGCAGCTTCAGGTCATAACTTTTTTCATGTTACTTTAAATAAAATAGGAAAAAGATTTCTGATCTCTCTGTGAGGCGGGAGCTGCAGGGTCTGACCTAGTTAAAACAGACTTCCAATCATTTCTTCTTGCTTCTCTCCCAGGTGAGACTAATATCAGAGATGAAAAAGAGATAAAGAAGACAAAAAACAATTCTGTCTCCTTTTCTGAGATGAGAATTGAGATGAGTGAACAGATCATTTGGTCTGTGTTTGTGGTCAATTCGTGTCTGGTAATGTCTCTTTTCTTTTGATTGTGTGTATGTTAAGAACAACTATGAGCCAAATGTGTATGTGTGTATGCTCTCTCTGTCCAGCTACCCCCTCAGCCCAACCCAAAGCCCCATCCAGGTGCTAGACTTCTATATATCAATCATCACTGAATTATTTACATGCAACAGATTTATTACATGTCATTTTTTCACTTGTCATGTGTGGCTGGATAAGAATGTGAAGTCTAACTTTTCACTGGGAAAATAAAGGTTATACACCTTTAGCTTTAGCACAGACACGAAGATTGTTAGTCCAGATTTTCCCATGTAGAGAAACTATTGTGCAGCATGAATAGTTATGTTTGAGTATGAGCCAGAGTAAGAGGGTCTACAACAGCCAGGCTCTCAGAGAAGAATGGATTATTTACATCCACTGCAGCTGCAACAGACATGTAACAAGTGAGGAGAGAAGAGACAGAGGGACAAAAAATAAAGAGAAGGGACACTTGTCACTTCTCTACGGGAAGCTAAAGATAGAGAGCATGAGATCACCACGTCATGTGGAGAGAAATAGAGAGACAGATAGTAGAGCCAAGAAAAGACTAGAGGCAACTTAAAAAAGCAAGAAGCACTGCTGCTATATCTGTTCAACACACACACCTCAACTTTGGAAATCTGACAGGAAAAAAAATTTGACCTCCTAATTAACTTCCAGTTAAACTTGGCAGCGACAGTTGTTTTTTCAGCAGTGCATAGATGGACGTTTATGTAATATGAGTGATGACCCCCAATCACACTATGTTGACACAGTCCTGAAACTCAAAATGTTGAGTAATGTATTTGTCATGCTGCAGTTGTTGAACAACACTGTACAGAAAATTGTGAGATGCAAATGATGTTATTGTATTGCAATTACTGCTACAATACCGGTTGCTAGGGAGGCGGACGTACAGTATGCACATTTAAGGATACACTGATAAGTTTATGTAAAAGTTCTTCCAACCCATATACACTTGCAACATTACTTCCTCTAACATGACCTGCAGTCAAATCATTAATCCATCTAAAATACGTGATGCAAATTCCTCTTGGACACAAATATGACAGAGGCATAAACATCAAAGGTTATTCTAAGGAAGTCCAGTCAAATTAACTTGGTGTTCATGGGACACAGAATGTAGAGGATGAGACAAAGATTCACAGCAAACATTTTAACATGTCAGAGCAGGAAAGGCACAGGTGTAATTAATTAATAACATGATGTCAGATCCCAGGTACAGGGCTCTGCTAGGATGCATGATTGCCTACAGGCGCACTCAAATGACAGAGCTGTAATAAATGTTATTAGTTACACATACACTTGGGTTTGCCATTCTAGAGGACACTGACAAAATACACATTTTGTCGTTTCATTTGGATGTTTCCTGCTAGTAAGTATAAACTATATAATTTATATTCATCTTCTGAAAAAAATGTACAAGATTATTCTGTTTCTTTCTCTTCACTGTCTTGACAGTGAGTCAAGAGTATTGACACATACTGAGTATTTGGACACATACAAGCAATTTGACTCCTGTTTTTTGGTAGCTCATCAATGTACTTTCATTCAGTGCCAGCACAATCTTGTATATAATAAAAGCACACACACACACACACACACAAAACACACCCAGAGAATGACAGACAGAGTGACATGAAGTAATTACTTCAAGAAAGGCCAATTATGTGAGGTTAGTGTTCAATATCAAAGTCATCAAAGGCCCAAACACTTTATCAGGTTGAACTACATTGTTGCAGCCGTCATTAAAAAAATCCACCACCTTGCCTCACACCCCTTTAGTCTATGCTGAGTGCTGAGTGTCAATGCAATTTTAGTGCTGAACAGATCATTAATCTGCCCTTCACAGTGGAGAATTAAGTGTATGACCGTGCATTTCAAGGCACCTATTGATCTAAATTTAAAAAGAGGGAGATGGCTTTGAGCTGACTGGGCAAGAGTGGTACAACCTGAAGGTCTCATTTTCT